AACCCTAATATAACACACCAAATGAAAAAAAAAACAAAAAAACAAAAAAGAAAACAAAAAAAAAAAACAAAACCTCTGATAAATAGGATGTGTGTGGGTCGCCGAATACAAAAACCTCTACCTCCCTGTCTGCTTATTAATAGGGTATCGCGGAATGTTATTTAGAAGCCCGTACCATAATTTAATGAAGTTGCACCAAATTCTAACGATTCGTTTAAGTTCATTTCATACACATACATAATAGTCTCGTTTACTTTATGAATTCGAGTTTTTAATTCGAATTTATATGTAACATTTTTTAAGAAATACAAAAACCTCTACCTCCCTGTCTGCTTATTAATAGGGTATCGCGGAATGTTATTTAGAAGCCCGTACCATAATTTAATGAAGTTGCACCAAATTCTAACGATTCGTTTAAGTTCATTTCATACACATACATAATAGTCTCGTTTACTTTATGAATTCGAGTTTTTAATTCGAATTTATATGTAACATTTTTTAAGAATTTTTTACTGTAAAAATCTAAAATTAAAAATTCAAATCGGTGAAATGAACGAGGAGAATATATATATATATATATATGCATATATAAGTGATGAGGGGTTGTTCGTTTGGAATGAAACTCAAAAAAAATTTAAATTCGAGTTACAACTTTATTCAAGTTGATATTCTTTTGTAAAACTTCAGTTTGAACTCGAGTTTGGAGTTAAACTCAAGTTCAAGTTTTCCTTTCAATTCGAGTTCATAAACTCAAACTCAAGTTCGTGTTAATTCTTATTGAGATTATTTTTTTTATGCATTCACAATGAAAAGATGAATAAAACCACATCTATATACCCTATTAAAAGTTTTTATCACCGTTGAGTTTTTATTAAAATACTACTTAAATACAAATTTAAGTTTTGACTCACTCAAACACAAACTCAAAAAGATTCTCAATTCAAATCATTACTTAAATATGCGCAACTAAACACAAATTCAAATTACAACTTCAATTTAAGTTATAACTCAAACTCAATTCAAAATTATCACTTAAGTCATTTTAACTCAAAAATACAAAAGAATAACCCCGAATTTCCAAACAAGATGTACACTTGTGTCATGCAGATATGTTGAGTGCTAATAGTTATAAAGCAGGGTTCTTTGTTCTCTCATCTCCAATGGACAAATAGACTTTCATTTATGGTAACCTATCGATTAAAGGAGTTTTGTCTTATTTTGTTACTTTGCCACTTCAATCCAACAACCGCCATACGAACAAAAACCCCACCAATGAATTTTTCTTAACTAACAAATAAAAAATAAAAAACCGGTAGAGGGATTTAATGGAAATTAATCGGAGAGACTTTTTACGTGAAGAACAAAAACACTCCTGCGAAATTATGGACGTATTTACGACTCGTTCTAAAATAATTTTATTTTTTATATAAAAATAAAAATGAAAATATTTTTAATCTCAGACATAAATTATTTTTAAAAATATATTTAATAGTTTTATCAAAATATTATTTTTAGTATAAAAAAATTTATTAATATTTCTCTCTCTCTATCTACTCGAGAGAGGAAAAACTAAAAATAAAAAATAAAAAAATGACTAATAATTGTTTTTTATTATCTTTCATTTTACACTAAATCAAAAAATCATTTTTTTTATTTTTTATTTTTATTGTGTTAAACACAAATTTAAAAATATTTTCATTTTTAATTTATTAAAAAATGTAAAAAATAAAAATGAGATTAATTTCAAACACCGCCTATAAGTTACAAATGTTGTTGAAACTTGTGAAACTAATGTAACTTCTGTTTATTTGCTTTGAAAACTTCGTCCTTGACCATGATTTTTTTTCTCAAGCATTTATGATGAATAATATCTACTGTTGGAATTAGGGATAAAATCCCACATCAAGCATCATGTACATGTTTAACACAGAATTCATAATAAATACCTTGTTTATATAAAAGTCTCATAGAATTGCCATTTTTTTTTTTTGGGTTAAATTTATTTGTAAGGCACTAAATACTCGCAGACTAATTTTTTCTGTAGATACGATAGATTTTAACTTAAGTTAATATTCAGAGGCAGAGCTACATAAAATCGACAGTATACTATCGTCTCACCTTTTGTTTTTTTTCCTTTATATATCAAATCTGATTAAATTCATAATTTGCTCCCCTCAAATTCTGCAATTTTATAGTTGACGTATCTCATAATATATGAAATCTCATGAAATTTTTAGGTTGTGTTTGATACGAGAATTCTAGAGTCAGAGTCCATGATTTTGATTCTAACATCTATTTATTTACAAAAGGTAAAAAATGGTTATTAAAAGCCAATGTTTGATTTGGATTGTTATGGTTTAAGGTTTGGACACTGATGTGGTATTTTAAACCAAAATTATTTCAAAAAATAAATCCACTTCCCTCTTGATTTTGGATAGTTCAAATCTCTTTATTATAATTTGGGTTATAAAACCATAGTTTGGACCACACGTACAAATCATAAATAATAGTTCTAGTTCTAAAATCAAAACCATCATAATTTGAACTCTCATACCAAACGCAATCTTAGTATACATCTCTATTCCCACTCACCTACCCGCCCGTCCACCGATTTTTGTTTTTTGTTTTTTGTTTTTTACTCCACCCCATTAATGCTCAAATGTTAACATGACATACAATGTATTAACCATTCACTTAAATCAATATGCAATGCAACATAACAACAGTTTGCAAGTAGATGTAATGTTTAAAATTATTTGAGAGGACACAAATCTATGAGTATTGTTGTTAACCACGGAATCTCAACAATATTGTCAATATGGTGTAGTCCAACATTTTAAGAAGCACTTACAAAATATAAATATGTTCACAAAAACGTGTTACAATGTGGAATCAAATCTGCGGTCAAACAACTTCACCTCATTCATCCACGTTGTTTGATTTAATTGTGATTGGTAAATGGCATTTAGAACATCTCCAATATAAGTATCAATGACAATATTTTAGTTAACACTAAAAAAAGAAAAATAAGAATTACATATTTATTATGCTATTTTATTTTATACTCCAATACATTATGTTATTTCAAATATTATACATATTTCTTTGTTATAATTAGTAATCTTTAAACTTGTAAAGCAAATTTAGGTTTAAAATAATTTGAAAACCACAATATTAAACTGATTAAATGAAATAATAAACATGTTATAACTAATAACAATCAAATTTGAAACTTTAACATATGTTATATTTAATGTCAAATTTTATACACAAAAAATAGAACGGCGTCATAAATAATTTTTCTATTCGATTCTAATATTTGATATCAACGTAAAAAGAGGAGGGGGAAGTGGGGATTTTGCAGTAGTAACGGTTACTTTTTTTTAACATCATAGATATTTACCGTGTTTGGAATTGTTCTTATTTTTATTTTTCACGTTTTTGAGAACGAACAAATGAAATCGATTCTAGAACAGCGTTTGGCACAATTAAAAAAAAAAAAAAACAGAAATGAAAACAATTTTTTGGTTTAGTGTAAAATGAGAGAGAAATGAAAAACGACTTTTAGTCGTTTTTCATTTTTTGTTTTCGTTTTCTCCTCTCTCGAGCAGAGAGAAAGAGAAAGAGACATTAATGGGTTTTTTTATACTGAAAATAATCTCTTGATAAAACTACCAAACACATTTTCAAAAATGATTTCTGCATAAGATTGAAAACGTTTTCATTTCCATTTTCATACAAAAAACAAAATCATTTTAGAACGAATTCCAAACGCACCTATTGTTTTAGGTCTTGTTTATTTTACAATTTAAATTTTATTTTTACAGTATTTTCTCTCATAAAATTTAATTTTTTTATTATAATATTTTTTCTCACATACACAATTTAAATTCTTAATTTAATTATTTAATTAACTTTCAAACAGTTTAGCCTATTATTGAAAATTATTCGTCACACAGCTGTAAATTTTTAACTAATGTTCATAGATCAAGTAATTAAAAGAAAAATGCTAATATTAATTTTTTTATTATTTTTATATTTATTATTTGACATATAAATTTTATTAATATGATATATTATTATTTTAATAAAATTTAAAATCAAAAAATAGAAATCCGAATCTAGTCCGAAGCCAGACTCCCTGTGCTGTCTGAAATGAGCAACACGTGCGAAGTCCACACATTGCAACCATCTCTGATATCTCTCAACTCTTTAAAAGACTTTTTAGGGAGGCCCACAAGTCCTGCGTGCCAGCCACGTGCAACTTCTGTCCATTTCCATTTTATCATTTCCAAACTATCCATTCACCCAATATCCTCTCTTTTTTTTTTTTTTATCTGAACGAAGACGAGCTCTTCAATACAAATATTAAAATTATTAACATAATTAAATAAATTACCCCAAAAATCTCGCAAGTTGCACAAAACTCCCTATCGTCCTCACGTCGACCTCACTTGCCATTTTATCTGTTACGAGGACAGCAAAAAAGTATCAGTGAGGTCCCAGAAAAAGTGCAATCCAACGGCTGAAAATGCGCTTTGCAAAACGAGGAGTGTCATCGGGGGGATTAGGAGATTGAAATTTGGTATAAATATTAACACCGTTCTTTTTTTCTAAAAAACGGAATCTCCACTTCTCGAACCTGATAATCTTGCATTAAAAAACAAATCCATATTAGGACCTCTGGTCCTCTAATAATAATGGTCTTAATTCGGTGCACTTTTTGGTGATGACTTTATGTCCAACACATCTCAGCCGTTTATCCCGCATACTTTTCCAAACCCAGCACTTCTTTCCCACCAAATCCCACTCTCTGATTTCCACTTAATCACAGTCTGACTCCCCTCTCTCTGTCAAATCACTTCCATTTCTTCACCAAAAAAAAAAAGAAAAAAAATATGATGCTTTCCCTAATTCCATTTTCGTTGATTTGTGCCCTTCTTTTGTGCTTGCCGTTGGCCGTCGTCTTCACCGTCAACAGCCCAACGGCCGCCACCACCAACTCCGCCATTGCCAGAGATCTCTCCAAATCCCAACAATCTCTCTTCCCATCGCCTTTCTCCTCCTCCGCCGCCAAATCTCACCGAAAACTCGACGTCAAATCCCTCCCTCCTCCGCCACCTCCGCCGGAGGACGACGATTCGCTATTCCGACTCGCCTCCGGAGTCAACTCGCGGCCTTTCCCCCGCACGGCACCGAAGAAGCTGGCCTTCATGTTCCTCACCACATCTCCTCTCCCCTTCGCTCCTCTCTGGCAACTCTACTTCAACAAAACCCCCAAAACCCTCTTCAACGTCTACATCCACGCCGACCCGACCCGGAATTACGACCCGCCCTTCTCCGGAGTCTTCTCCGGCCGCGTTATTCGTTCCGAGCCCACGAAACGTCTTTCCCCTACCCTGTCCGCGGCAGCGCGTCGTCTGCTCGCCCACGCGCTACTCGACGACCCGTCGAACGCGATGTTCGCGCTTCTCTCTCCTTCCTGCGTTCCGCTTCACTCCTTCAACTTCACCTACGAAACCCTAGCGAGGTCGAAGAAGAGCTTCATCGAGATTCTGGACAACGAGATCGGGAGCTACGACAGGTGGACGGCGCGTGGACTGGACGCGATGTTACCGGAGGTGAAGCTGGAGGACTTCCGGATCGGGTCCCAGTTCTGGGTGCTGACACGTAAGCACGCGAGGATTGTCGTTAGCGACAGAAGGCTTTGGTCCAAGTTCGGATTGCCGTGCGTGAGGCTGGACACGTGCTACCCGGAGGAGAATTACTTTCCTACCCTTCTCGCCACGCGCGACCCTCGCGGGTGCGTGCCTGCCACGCTCACGCACGTGGACTGGAGAGGCTTAACGGACGGCCACCCGAGGACTTACATGGCGGCCGAGGTGGGGCCCGAGCTGATCGCTTCCCTCCGTAGCGACAGGCCGAGGTACGGCGATGATGTTGTTGAAACGAACGGCTCTGATTCGTCGGTCGGAGAAAGGGAAAGGGAAAAGGAAAGTCGAAGGCGAGATCCTTTCCTGTTTGCGAGAAAGTTCGAACCGGACGCGATCGGGCCGTTGATGAGCATAGCCCGTGACGTCATTCTTAGGGATTAGAGTTTGACATAAATGGGGGTGTGTTTGTAAGTAAATCTCTTGTAATTTTACGGATAACAATTTTACTTATAAAAAGGGAAACCCGGGACAAACCCGGAGTTTTTTGTTTTTGTTTTTGTTTTTTTGTTTTTATATCTTTTCTTTCCTTTTCTTTTTGTTGGTTTGTTTTGGGTAAAAAAAATGTTTGATTGAATTTCATAAATGAAAATCACCTAAAAAGGGCACACTGAAGATCGATGCTCTTTAACCGATTCACTATATTAAAATGAAAACATCCAATCGATTAATATCGATAATTTAATAACATCAAGGTCACACGAAAAATGTCAAAAAAATAAATTGAACACAGTCAAATACAACGAAAAATGTCAAAAAAAATAAATTGAACACAATCAAATACAAGTTTGATTCTATTAAATTTTTCAAAACTTACAATGTAGAGACGGTAATGTCGGGTATTAAATGAGAAGGGAAGCATAGTAACGCACTCGAAGAAAGAATGAGACTAAACCAATTGTGGAGTTGCCTGCCAGTGTCACATTTTTTTTTTTTTTTTTTTTTTTTGCGTATTATGAAGTTGTGCCAATATAAATTGATGTTTGTTTTACATTTTTATACGAAAAACACTTTTCATCCAAACCCACTGAATGTAAGGGTTTGTTTTTTTCACGGCTTAAATAACAACTCAAATTTTTTGTTACTGTTTTCTCTTATTAAAATTTAAATTAAATTTTTTTATTAAAGTGTTTTTCTTTTACATAAATAATTTAAGTAACGCGAAAAAATTTCCGTTTAGATGAGTAGCATTATTCTTTTTATAAAAAAAAAATGTTTTTGTTATGCTTCAATACATAGTCAACTCGCAGTGATAATCACTTGCTTGATTCTTTTTTTTTTTTTTTTTTTTTTAAAGTGATTGAGTTTTGAAATATCTAGGATAATAGTTATAACTTTTCATCAATGACAAATATTATTATTTTAACCGTAAAATTAAATTTATTAATGAAATAATCTATGAATATGAACACAATTTTTTATTACACGACATAAATTTAATTCGTAGATATTATATATGACCTTGTTAAAAAATTAATCCAATATTAAAACAATAGTTTATGTTGAATGAAAGGTCCAACAGTTAAAAGGTTTTGTGATTCTAATGTTGAGGTGTAAAAACGGATTTGGATATCTTTGGACATTAAAAAGATCTTTCTGGCGAGTACAGGGGGTTAAACCAATTTGTCAAAACGTGCTTTTCGGGGTTTTTAAAGATTAGGCCCTCTCGCAACTGAAAACGACCTTTGGTATCTTTGACAAATTTTTTTAGCGTTTGAAATATCAAATGCTTTTTTAATTTAATTTTCCCCTCTCTCTCTCTCTCATTTCGGTGCCACAAAAATAGGTAAAAAAAAAAAAGAAAAAGAAAAAGAAAAAGCTAACTCTTGAGCTGAGCTTTGGCAGAATTAGTCGCTTTCAAAATTGATGTATTCCAGCCCTCAAAAGCAACTACGAATCTACGATTACTTTTATTATAATCTTTGATTTTTCTCTAAAACTTTAATTACAATCCTCATACCAATAGATAATAAAAATTGTCGGTTGCTTCGAATAATAGGGCACAGATTAACAAAAAAAAAAATCTATATTTGATGTATAAGTTATAGCTATTAAAAAGAAATTCCAACAAAATATTAAAAAAAAAATTATAGACTTAATTTAGTTCGCTGATTCGAATTTTTAATTTTAATTGAGATACGACTTTATGTGAGAGTTTTTTATTGTAACAAAAAAGTTAGATGTGATTGTTTCTGAGAGATTTAAAAGCTCCGTTCATTTCGCTCATTCGAGTTTATAATTCGAGTTTTGCTACAGTTAAAAGCTCTCAGAAACAGTCATATTTAACTTTTTTACTACACTAAAAAGTTCTCACACAACATCACATCTCAACTCGAATTAAAAACTCGAATTAGCGAACCGAACGGACCCTTTTACTGTAATAAAATTTAAATTCTAAACTCGAATCGGTGAAATAAACAGAACCAGTATCTGAGGTGGGTGGCCCTAATGCTAGTTAAGTGGAATACACCTAAATTGTTAATCCGTATAAGCAAAATGTCAACATATGGGCTCATTGGACCATACTCTACTTTTGAAATTGTGTATCACCAAATCCGAAACATTATTGGTGTTGCATTGCAAACATGGTTTTCATAAGTTGCCTTTTTCATTTTTCATCTTTTTCCCTAGTTGGAATATAATGATGTAACTTTGTTCAACCACCAGGCAGCAGAATTATAACTTCACCTGTTAGAAGTGAGAGGTCTGAAATCTGTTGAATGGATTATTGGTTCGAGAGAGGCCCTCTTTTGCAGAACAAACAACTGATGAGAGAAAAGCAAAAAGAAAAAGAGAGTCAGAAGTTTTTTTTTTTTTTTTTTTTTT